CTCGCTGTCTCTCCCCCCTCCCTCTCTCCCCTGGCAGTCTCTCCTCCCTCTCTCTCTCCCCTGGCAGTCTATCCTCCCTCTTTCTCTCCCCTGGCAGTCTCTCCTCCCTCTCTCTCTCCCCTGGCAGACTCTCCTCCCTCTCTCTCTCTCCCCTGGCAGTCTCTCCTCCCTCTCTCTCTCCACTGGCGGTCTCTCCCTCTCTCTGTTGGTGGTCTCTCTCTGCTGGCGGTCTCTCTCTGTTGGTGGTCTCTCCTCTCTCACTCTCTCGGCTGGCGGTCTCCCCATGCTGTCTCTCCTCCCTCTCTCTCCGCCCTGTCTCCCCTGGCTGTCTCTCCTCCCTGTCTTCCCTGGCTGTCTTTCCTCCCTGTCTCCCCTGACTGTCTCCACTCGCTCTCTCCCCTGGCTGTCTCTCCTCGCACTTTCCTGGCTGTCTTACCTTGCTCATCCCCCTGGCAGTCTCTCTTCACTCTCTCTCCCCTGGCTGTCTCTCCTCGCTCTTTCCTGCCTGTCTCTCCTCGCTCATCCCCTGGCAATCTCTCTTCACTCTTTCTCTCTTGGCTGTCTCTTTGCTCATCCCTCTGGCTGTCTCTCCTCGCTCATCCTTTTGGCTATCCTTTCTCTCTCTCTTGGCTGTCTCTCCTTGCTCTCTCCACGGGCTGTCTCTCCTTGCTCTCTCCACGGGCTGTCTCTCCTTGCTCTCTCCACGGGCTGTCTCTCCTTGCTCTCTCCACGTGCTGTCTCTCCTTGCTCTCTCCACTGACTGTCTCTCCTTGCTCTCTCCACTGACTGTCTCTCCTTGCTCTCTCCACTGACTGTCTCTCCTTGCTCTCTCCACTGACTGTCTCTCCTTGCTCTCTCCACTGGCTGTCTCTCCTTGCTCTCTCCACTGGCTGTCTCTCCTTGCTCTCTCCACTGGCTGTCTCTCCTTGCTCTCTCCACTGGCTGTCTCTCCTTGCTCTCTCCACTGGCTGTCTCTCCTTGCTCTCTCCACTGGCTGTCTCTCCTTGCTCTCTCCACTGGCTGTCTCTCCTTGCTCTCTCCACTGGCTGTCTCTCCTTGCTCTCTCCACTGGCTGTCACACCAGCCCGTTCGGCATTTGTCTTCCGAGAACGCCACTAACCTGCCGAAAATTGTACGATGCTCAGCTAGTTTTCAGGCGTGCTCGGGAGACAAAAGACGTGCGACCGTACAGTAGAAACAGTCGCACGACTTCCATACACTTGCCGATTATCGTACGATCGCGGGATCACCCGTGATTATCGTACGATAATCGGCAGGTGTATGGGCACCTTAAGACTCGTGAGTAAGATGGGAAGTTCGGATCTTCAAATGAATCGGCTCTTCGGTTTACTTGCTGAGTCGATGAGTCGCAAGTGAACCGAAGCTCAGGAGCAGTCTGACTCTTTATAAAAGATCCGAATCGGAAGACTATTTCAGAGAAGGGGGGCAGCTCCTGAGGCTAGTTCTAGTGATCAGTGCCTTGGCTCAGGGGGGTCACAAGTTTGATTTTATGTCACACCAGCCATTGTATCACATCAGCCAATGTCATCACTTCTGGTGACGCGCGATCAGCTGTAAAAAAAAGCGTGTTGCCGCGCACGCGCTCCGCACTCTGACGACCTGATGCCACATTGGTAGTCAGATTTGTCCCTAGTCTTTACAGTGCATGGGCGGGAATAACGATAGGATTTTAGTACTGTGGGTGCAGTACCCATGGTAGTAAATCCAATCGTTATTGCGCTGTAAAGACTAGGGACAAATGTGACATCAGCTCATTAGAATGTGGAGCGCACGCGCAATAACGCGCTTACTGTGACGCCTGATCGCGCGACTTTGGCTGAGGTGATACAATGGCTGGTCTGACATATAACCAAATGTGAAACCTCTCTGCGCCAAGACACTGATCCCCAGGGGCTGCCCCCCTTCTCTGAATCAGAGTCTTCTGATTCAGATCTTTTATGAAGGGTCACACAGCTCCTGAGCTTCGGTTCACATGCTTGTCAGCCGACTCAGTAAGTGAACCGAAGATTCGATTCATGAATCGGTTCTTTTGAATGAACTGATCCAAATGAACCGATTCATTTGAAAGATCCGAACTTCCCATCTCTAATGTGTATCTTCTTCTGAAGTTAGTGCCTTACATAGCGTGGTGTCATCAGCAAAAACTGAGCTTGAGCTAGTTATTCCAACCTCTATAATGTTTATGAATAAGATCAACAGGACTGAACCCTGGTGCACTCCACTTTGGACCATTTAGAAAATTAGCTGTTTATCATTGCCTTCTGGATCCATTCTTGTAACCAGTTTTCTACCCGTGCACATACAGTTTCTTCTATGGCAATGAACCTTAATTTGTAAATGAAATGCTTGTGTGGTACAGTATCAAACACTTTAGCAAAGTCCACATACACTATATCAACTGGTCTTACTCCAGAGATGTACAGTGAGGTTGGTGGCAAGTGATACAGGCTCACTCAGGCCCAGTCACCAAACTATGTATGGAGGGAGGAGGGAAGGAAGAGCCTCCCTGTCCCTCTCTTGCTAGTCACTGATTAGGCATCGAGATGGATGCTATCAGTGTTTTTTTGATTGGACAACTTGGACCAATGGCACTTTGCCATTGGTCCAAACTATCCCCAGAGCTCAAGCCTCGAACTCCAAGTCCAAAGCTGTTGTAGCCAGGGCCAGCCTTAGGCCTTTAGGCACTTTGTGCGAGAAAGCTTTACAGCGCCCCTCAGTGGCCACACCCTTTAGTGGCCCCACCCACCGTAACCACACCCATTTCCCCCAATATCCACACCATTTAAAGCGACATTAACCAGTTGACATCCGGGGTGTTAAACCCCCTTCCCATCCAGGCCATTTTTCAGTATTCAGCGCTGCGGTACTTTGACTGGCATTTATTCCGTCATGCAGCGCTGTACTGAAATGAATTTTATACCCTTTTTTGGGGACAGAGCTTTATTTTGGTGGTATTTAATCACCACTGGGGTTTTTATTTTTTAATATATTAAGGAAAAACGACAGATTTAAAAAAAAAAAAAACAGTTCCCCCTATATTAAATTCTAAAACATTTATTATTACCAAATTTTTTGGTAAAATATAAAAGACGGGGTCACGTCAAACCCCTATGTGATCAAAGTAGATAGACATTAATTAAGTGTCTCGTTTAGGAACCTATAAGTGATGTATCTCTGTAATAAAAAGATATATGTAATCTCCATGATTTGTTTGTGAAAAAATTCCAATAAAAAAGTTTTATAAAAACAACAAA